CTAAATATTGATTTGCAAACACAATGTAGCAAAAGAGTTGTTCAATAGCTCATTTTGGATTATAAGAAGTCCATTCAAAGAACTGAAAAAGCATAAATGAAAATATTCAAGAACCAACCTTTTTTGGAAACCATTGGTTCTAGTCTTATGATCTTTGATATATTTAGCGAGAACCAAATTAATCTGAAATAAAAAGAAACATGTTAGTTAAATCAACTCAGAATTCAAAACTAATATAGATTGACGGTGAAAAAAAGTATTCGCACACACATAATGCAATACACATGTGTAATATACAATTGAGTAAGATACTTTGATGCCATGTGGATCATTAACTGTTCCCTTGAGCCACAATTTTATTTGAATTAATGTACTAAAGATTAATGCTATGTACATTGAAAACGTCGAGTGATTGTTATATCAAAAGATTTGACCACACAGGTAGGCCATGCGGCTTTGGATCGATATTAGTACACTTACATGCAAAAAATTATGAAATATTGATTGGTTTATTAATAACGTTAATGAAGATTCTTGTTTTTGGGGTGTCTCAATGAATGTTGTTTTGTTACGTCGTTTTATTACTTAACATTATTAGTTAAATTTAAATACATAATGTTATGATAAAATGATTTAAACTTAACGTTATTGGTAACAGCATACAAAGTTTCAAAAAACAACATTGAACTTAACTAAGTTTGATGTGAGGATTATTTTGAATTTAAATCATAGATCTCTGCTCTAATCTGTGCACGCACAGCATACACATTTTAACACAAATAATAACAATCACAAAAGAACCAACAGAGTGATGGCATAAAAATCTCAAGCATGTGGCGTCATCTGTCAATGAACAAAAATAAGATGTATCATGTATTGTAGAGGATTAGATAACTGAGAATTACATTCAGAGTCACCACAATGACAACAAAGAATAGAAGCATGAACAAAAACATGCAAAACACATACAATGTGTTTTTTGCATAGAGGTTGTAACACTGAAAAAGTAGCAGAGCAGGAGGAAAAAGAGAAATGGAGAGCAAGGTGGTAGCCAAAAGAGAAAATCAGAGTTATTAATATCTTCTTAGCTCTCCTAATTTAATAATTTAGACTCAAAATAAATTATGTCAGATGTCTTTCCGAATCGATGTTTTGAGAAAGATGGTACTGTCCAAGAAGAGCGGGACTTTTCCTTTCTAAAAAGTGGAAGCCAACAGCAATCATGAATAAAAGTGGGCAGAGAATATAAAATTCTACTTGTCTTTTCTTGTGGCTTTGGTGGGTTTGGCAAATGGTTTTTTTTTTTTTTTTTTTTTTTTTTTTTTTACAACAATGGACGGCAGCAAGAAAGGGGGAGAGCAGACAGGCAGCAGAAAAGCAAGAAATAATCAAATTGGACTCGAACTTACCAATTTTCTATTCAAATAAACTGAAAAAAGGAGTTGGAATCAAACTAACCTCCGTTTTCTATATGCAGCAAACTGCATCTTGTTTTTGCCCTCGTTAGCAACATACCATTGGCTCTGTACACACCAAAAAATGCTCTGTACACACCAAAAAAACACAGTAAACACCTCATTCATTACTAATAACCATTTCAATTAATTTATTATTTAGACAAATTTTTCAACGATTCCGAAGCTCAGATAAAATCTGCAAGAGAAAATTGAGATTATATGCAATTGTATGTCAAATAACCTGAAAAATACCATATATCCAATATTAAGTGCATACACCTATAAACTAATCTTTATATATTCTTTAAAATAATACATATCAATGTAATCTAAAACATTGAAAACATTATCATACAATTAAAGAATAACGATGTAGAAAATTTTCTTTCCATTATTTTCAGATAACTTTCCAGTCAACAACCATTTCTTTTATCCCATTTGTCCAACACCACCTGCATTTCAAACAAAAAGGAAGAGTTTAATAACTAAGACCATCTCCAACAATGGGCTAAATGCCAAATTTCCCCCCAAATTTCCCCCCCAAACCATCTCCAACCCATGCTAAAACTTTCGGCTAAATGCCAAATATTAAAGTTGGGCCAAATACCCCCCAGATTTCCCCCCCTGCGCGACTGGACTCGCTGGCCCAAAGGCCAGTCTCGGCCCGCTCACTCGCGAACGCGCCCCACGCGGAGCGCTTGCATTCCGTCTCCGACAGGGTGGGCCCCGCTGTCAGCGGGTTGTCGGCCACCCAGATGAACTCCAACAGCTAGTTTTTCAATCCAACGGTTGCGTTTCAAGGACCGTTGGTTGATCCAACGGTCCAGATTCAAATTTGATTTTTTAAAATATGTTATTTTAAAATACATTGAATCCAACGGCTGAGATCAAATATAATCAAATCTAACGGTAAAAAAAAGATCTAACGGCCCAAATTTAAATCTAATGGTTAAAATAATTAAAAAAAATTATTTAATTCAAAATTCACTCAAAAACTCTATAAATACCTATGTATTTGTTCAAACATCCACACAAAACTCAAATTTCTCTTACAATTCTTCCAATTTATCTTTCTACCATTTCTTTCCATTTCCAAATTGTTCAACATGGCAAGAGAGCATATTAGAGGTCGTAATTGGACTTGTGAGGAAGATGTTGCTCTGTGCTTGGCATGGGTTTCTGTTAGCGAAGATGGTGCAGTTGGCACTAATCAAAATAAAAAGGTTTTGTGGGATAAAATCATTGCAAAATTTCAAGAAAACTGCAATGGTAGCAGGCGGGATGGTGGTGGTGTTTATGATCGGTGGAAGACTATCAACAAAGCATGCACTTTATGGAAGGGAAGCTTGGAGAGAGCCGTGGTTGGCATGGCTAGTGGGAGGAGCGCCATAGAAATTGTGAGTTTTGTTCTTGATATTTTATTTGTCATGTACATAATATTATGTTGCAACTAATTATTTTTATGTATTTTTTGCATAGGGTGACAAAGCAATGGAAATTTACAAGACAAGAGTAACACCAAAAAATCAAGTTTTTAAGTTGCAACATGCTTGGAACATCCTCAAAGATTGTCCGAGGTGGGGAACCGATGCGGACCAACAATGGGGAAGATTATTTCAACGTGAAGCTGCACAAACAAATGCCGGAGATGAAGGTGTTGATGAAGGTGTCGATGAAATGACCCCATCTCCTTCTTTTGCAAGGCCCCCAGGAAGAGATAAGCAAAAGGAAGCAAAGAGAAAAGGGAAGTCCCAAGATCTGATGAGTGGACACTTTGATACCGGAATGGCAAAATTGAACGAAACTCATAGCGCTCGCCAAGAAGAAGCGGCCCGAATGCGTTTGCAAATGAAGGAAATCTCGGATAGGGAGGAAAATAGGTTTGAAATTGAATTCATGATGAAGGACCTCAGCAAATACACTCCAGAGAGGAAGAAGTTCTTACGTGGTAAGCAAAAGGAAATTATGCGAAAGTCTGCCTCAAGGAGTATGTTTCAAGATGATGAATCTTCTGAACCCTATATCCCAACGTTTCAACGAAGTCCATCACCAAGTGAAGATGGTGGATATGATTGTTAAGTTTATGTAGTGTATGAATTATGTGCTTTATTAATTAAGTTTATTAATTGTGGTTTGTGAATTATAATTTATGTCTTATTAATTATCCAATAATTTATGTCTTATTATTCCCCACTTTGATGTAAAATTTAGTGATTTTTCAATATTTATCGGAATTTAAATTTTTTTAGATTCAAATGTTTATAAAATTAATTTACGACAATCTACGTATTTATTTTTTTAAAAAAATTTAATTTAAGAAAAAAAATAGCCTAAGTTCATTCTTTAATAATCCCGGGCTAAAATTTTAGGCCGAAATGGTTGGAGTAGAAAAGTTGTTTCTGGGCTAAAAGCTAAATTTTCCGGGCTAAAATATTTAGCATTTAGCCCGACCATTGGAGATGGTCTAATAATTTCAGGCACTTTCCAATTTTCAGCTATGATAAAGACCATGGATAATTTATTGTGTCCATTTTCCTGCCATCTTAAGTGGCCAGAAACTGAAAATTTGTTATCAAATGTGTTAATGCTGCAATATATAGGATGACGGAGAAAATTCCAGTGAAGATTGGTTGAGGAAATTTACAGTGTCACTACTCGCCTTTAGAAATATGTCTTTTCTGGAAACCATTTCAAAGTGTTTAGGATCCCAAAACCCGTAATCGATTATAGTGTGCCTAAAATCAAAAAATGACCTTCACAAAAACTAACTCAAAAACCCTAAATCCCTAAACCAGATTAGTGTGGTTTCATCCTGTTAAAGATACGAAAAATGAAGCCATTCAAGCGGTTAAGATATCTAGTAATGATCGTGGAGATACGCAGCTGGAAGAAGATGGAAGATAAAAAACTTATTAGTATGAAATGAATCCAATATCCTAATGTAAAGGAAATTACTCATAGTAGAAATTTTGAATGGACAAAGTTTTGGCTTCCCTTTCCGGCTATACTTGATTAACTGGGAACCTTTTTTTTAATGCAATTAGCAACTTCATGAGAGAGAGAGAGAGAGAGAGGAATATTAGGTGAAAAGTAGTATTGCCAAATCACACAGAGATCAAAATCTTGAATATATATGTTTAACCATATCAAACATCATTTCGTCGAAACCGACTTCACAAACACCTTCTTCTTCTGTTTTCAAATTTTCAGAAACACAACAATCAACTACGTTTTCGAGAAAATTAACAAAAAAAGAAACCCTCTTTGATTCAGTTTTCTCAACAACCAAACAGAACCTAAAAATTTCAAGCTTACATTTTTGAAGCGAGCCATGGATAACGTTTGCAATTTCAGCTCCGTAGCTTTGTGATCTACTGCAAAAAATTAAAACAAAAAAATATACGCATTTAGAGTAGAAAAAGAATGAATTTATGCTAGGGATTCGCCAGATAATTAAAACTAATTGAAAAATTAAACAAAATTACCTTTGGGCGTTTAGGGTTTTGGGGGAACTCTGTCTCTGCGTGAGGTTATAGACGAAGGAAGGAGATGACTAAACGCGCGAGGCAAATTAGGTTAGTTTATTAGGCGCATCCGAACCGTCTAAACATACTAAGGAAATCAAGATGCATCCAAAACACAAACAGTCAAACTGGAATGCGCATGGAGAAGCAGAAGAAGAAAAAGAAGATGAAGAGAGGGTAGTCGATAGCTGACCCGACACTGGTCGTGGTCGGAGTTGACAGAAATCAACAAAGCCCTGTGCGATTTCATCGTTTTGAGATGTGATGGTCACATCATGATTTTATCACCTGAAGGTCGACTCTTCCAAGTCAGAAAACAGAAAAATTAAAATTCAGGAACAATAAACTAACAAAAACAAATTACAGAAGAGGAAAAAATCAAATTACCTAAACAAAAATCCATGATTATTCCATTAGTGCTGATTCTATAGGTTTTAAAGGGGGAAGGTTTTTTTATTTGAGATGGATGATGTTCGATCTGGGGATTTTAGGTGAGCAGATTGAAACTGAGGGAGAGAGAAAGAGAATGATGAAGAGAATGGGATCTGAGGGAGAAAGAGGGGAGGAAAAGAATGGTAAAGTGACGATCGCACCCTGCCTTTCCACGATCATCAACACGCGGCATCAAGATCAGCAGCAGAGAGAGACAGTGGCAGCTTCGTAAATAAACTGAAATGTGGTCCAAAACACTGTTCATATGAATAGTGCGATTTCCCCTCCTACTTTAGACTAAAGTAATTGCATTTATTATTCTTGATGCCATTTTAAGTTAATGTCTTGGAGGCAGGTTTTTATTTGAGGTATATTAGCTCAACGGAAGTACTGTGAGTGGTATCAGCTTTAAAATAATGTAGTAATAGAAGCTTGAGAGGATTTCTTCATCATCATCATTCTACAATTGTAGGTAAATGTCATTTACAACGTTGTGGCTGCCTATCTTCGAAATATTAGTATAGTTGCAGCTAACTTCATTTAAAACGTTGGTTGTTAAATGAATCGAAGCCTTCTTGAGCAGTGTAATATTTGATTAAATTCTTTAATCATGTTTCTTTTGTGTAGAAATTGTTCTAAATGTTTTCAGATCTTTTTAACAGTCGAGTTTCTGTATGATTTGAATATGACCTGTAACTTTGTTCATACCCTTGACGACCTCAGATATCTAGGATTTAAAATACAAGCAAAAGATTGTTAGCATGTCGAATATTTCGACTGAGAGTACACTTTCTTCTGCAATGTGGAAATGACTGGAACTCCATCTGTGTAAGTTTATCTTACATTGCCGGTTCCAAGCCCAGATAAAAGAGGAGGAGGAGGGCGTCAGGTAGTCGACCGGCACTCCTATCTTACGTTGAATCCTTAAGATGAGATCATACCAACTCACATGCACCGGATCGCATCTGAACTCCAAAGTTAAGCGAGTTTTGGGTGAGAGTAGTACTAGAATTGGTGACCTCTTGGGAAGTCCTCATGTTGCATCCCCCCACAACCGACCCCATATAGTGGGAAAAGACTTAAGAAGAAGAATGTGGAAATGACTGGCATTAGGGATTAAAATATGTTTCTGAATTCTGCATTGCGTCTCCGGTTTGCTGGCGGATAAGATTTCTGAGATTGACCTACCAGTTGGTTTGGTTTGGCTATTCCTTTCTATTGAAAAGGAGTCAGCTGTCTGGCCATGTCACCTTCTTCTAGGCTCCGCTGGACGACACGGCATTCTTGTTTAAGTATAGGCCGGCTGTACTTGTGATAATTCGTTTACCTCAGTCTTTTGCCTTTTCCGCTTTGTATCACTTCATCTAATGTATATTCTGTATTCACGCATCCATACATGTAATTTTTCTTTTTGTTTATTGACTGCCGAAGAAATCTTCTTCTTTTGGATAGTGACAATGCGACATTTTTCGGAAGGATTGCTCTTTTTTGGGCATTTATTGAAAAATACTAATGCACATACAGGCTACAATCAACTGATCATGAGATCTCACATATTGTGCATGATACTTTGCTATCAGCTGCCTGCCTGTCATATAGTCAACGCTCATCTAGAGGAAAAATAATTGAATGCAATAGAATTTGTTAGTCATTGTTCTTCTCACAGTCAGTCGTGTGATGAAAATCTTCTTTGCACCATGATCAATGCTGTTTCTTCCCTTCATTTTTTGTCCTGGTCAACTTACTTGCAGAAAAATGCAATATGGGCATTAAGGGTCGTGGTGCTCTTGTTTTTCTTTCAAATCCTCTCACACACACATATCCTGCATATAAATCAATCAGTCAATAAGTAAACTTGTTTGTCACTTTGTACAGCTAAATTACATACACCGGTTTTTAATACAATGTTTTCAACAGTCGCACCACAATTTCGTCAGATTTCTTTCCCTCTTATTTCCCCTTCTTTTGAAGACACTCAGGACTCGAGAAATCATCAGTCAAATATCTTAATGACCCCTCTGGCTAATTACATATAATTGCACTATCAATGATTTGTCTTTTGCATCAAAAATTACAAATTAGTTCAAAGTTTATCATTTACATTTTCTTTTTCTTAAACCATGGTAAGTATACCTTTGTTATATAACTAGTCCTGAGAAGATAACTCATGATAGGTATCGCAAAGTATTATGAAGAACTGAAGTTAGTATCACATACCTCTCCAAAAGCAGTATTGAATTCCCTCTGTTGATAGACCTGGTGGACATAATTATTTTCGTTGTAAGTATACATCTCTAAATGGGATGTGAAAATCGCAACGCTGGTATCTTAATATCACTTACCTCTGAATATTGTCGATACAGAAGTTCCAAAGTATACGGTCCGTCTTGGCAAATTCCATATCCACCCCCTTGGAACATCTATTGGGTTGTGACTAGACTCATGATCTGCGAACATCTGTATCGTGATAGAACTTTGTTTATAAATCTGGAAGTAATGGCTCTAACATTCTGGCTTACAGAAGTGGAGTACAGGATTCTGGACCACTATTAATTTTGTCCAGACTGCTCTGTAGATAAACTTCAAGGAGATTAGTTTCAATAAGACTCACCTCATTAACTTGAAAATATGTGCCGTTGAGTGGAAAGCTCCCTCTCATTGCTGTTCTACAAGGTATCTGCAACAAGTTAAATTAAATTTTGGTAAACAAATGCATCTAGTTTATTGTCTTTGACTTATTACAACAATCAATTTTTCTCACCAAAATCGTCCCTCTGACTGTTTGTGAATTTTCTTCTCTTATACTATTACATGAAAAACATGTCTTCTCATTGCACAATTTGTGTTGGTCTTGGGAGCCACACCTGCTTTCTGGTGGTTGAATTGAATTTGCAGTCTCACCTGATATAAATAAAATAAATGTATCACTTAGTAAGATGTACAATATTTCGACTTCATTCATCTGATGTCAAATTTAGCTAGCTCTAGGCCATCCATGCATCCGTATCCCAAGTTCTAACTTGGCTTACCGAATCAAATGCATTAAATTTGAATAGATCTCAAGATCCTCAACAATGTATCTCAGTTCTTTTATGTCTGGAGCTTACCTGGTGTCCATATAGCAAGAAGGTAAGGGCTTGGATCATCTGGTTCCCGTCTGTCCATCTGTAAAGTTGAATGGTGATTAATTGAGAATTAGAACGCTTCATGTATTGTAGATATAATATATATAATTTTAACCTACCCCTTTTAAGAGTGGATGCGAATCTGGTAGTTCATACCTGCATTATACCAGCACAGAATGTATAAGGGTGTCAGAGGATTTACAGTTATGCCTGTATACACATGCTTGTATAGGTATGTGTGCCAAAACTCAGAACGTATGGCTCCAGGCAGAGAGTTGTTAAAATTCCTGCAAGAATTCTGACGGTGGCGAATTCAAAATTTCGACACTAAGTTTGTTTTCCTAGATTGAACATGCTGTGGACTTTGGCCCTACTATATTTCAGTTTGTGTTCAGTGTTTTGCAAGGAATATGTGGGTTTGTGACTATGGGATGAAATGTACTTACACTTGGTGCTCTGTTCTTAGTCGACTGACATTCTTTAGCTTGGGTGTAGGGATAGAAGCAGCTTCCGAAGTCAAGGAAACTAAGGCCTTGGACATGTCACCTTCTTGAAGCTCCATCTTCTCTTGCATATAGTTTTGTAATGTCGATGTTAACTGTTCCATGTTGAGTTTGATGGTAGGAATCTCATCTGGATCCTCGTAGAACAAGTCCTCGATGTCACTTTGTGATAGCTCAGTGAACTCTTGTTCTGGGGATGCTGGTTCTTCAATGATTGGTTCACACTTGTTAATCTCAACACCTGCTATCTGGAGTGAGTTGATTTCAGGTGGAGGCAGTGACATGGGAGTGACAGCTATTGTAGGGTTTATCCCGGCTGCAATTGGAACACTTGAATTCACAACGCTCTTTTCTTCTGGACCTGGCAGGGCAAGCCTTGCACTGCACCAAACATGGTTGGTATCAATTTGCTCAATACAATCTCCTAATTGTTCCACGTGAATAGTGAAACGTAGAGTTATACAACTATAGATTCTCCATGAAACTATCTACGATTCTTAGTTCCTTATAAATTTCTGATTATTACGTAATTGACCCTGAATCCCATGTCTCGAGATATCTGGAGATTCTGATGACTTGCTACAATGTATTTTTTTTTTCCTGCACAGTGGCATCAACATATATGTAAATTATCAGAGATTATTGTTCAAACCTTGCAAAAGCACTTGCAAAGTGTCTGCATTCTCCTCTCATTGGACATGCATTGCAATTTGGTTTACTCTTTGTGCAGAAAACCTGCATAACGATCAAAATATGAGGTACTTAATTTATTTTTGTTTGATCACAGATAATATTTCTAACTGGTGAAACAGCATGCATACCTTTCCAAATGTAATCATCTGGTAGTGCAGCTCATAACTATGGTTCAATAGTCAATTAATCAGTAAAAGCATAAGTCGACAAATATAAATAAAATTACATGAACTTTTGCACTTGAAAGTAGTGCTCTCAAATTTATATGAAAAGTTTATGAAGCTATGAGCTTACAGGGTTCGTTGATCAATTTTGCATAATCTTGGCCATAGATACTTTTGAATTGATTCCAGCATTGGGTACCTAGAGGGAATACGGTTAGCATTTTCCAGTACTGGAAAAGTAAGCATTCATTTACCAAACTATCATTTCTTACATTTCTAGGAGGTGTAACTGGAGTGATTCAGGTAATGGTTGGAGGGGGACCCATCCCAGTCTTACTGCTACCCTTCCAACATTAGTATCAACCTATATTGAGCAAAGAACATATAATTTCATTGATTTTAAGATATCCCCAGGCTCTTGTAACATAATTAGTATTTAGTAGTCGCATAATTGTTACCGGGAAAGCAAGGTGGTGAAGTGTTAAAAGCCGGACACACTCCACACTTTTCAAGCCCAAGCCTCGTATGCTTAATAGATAATCCCTGCAGGAAAATCATTAGTGATAACTGTATACAAAACCTGATGAATAATGGCCTTGTTAATGGCATAAAGGGGGTAGCTGTAACGTTCTACAAGATAATGAATTGTGGAATGACTTACTTCGCTTTATCAGGGGGAACATCTCTTAACCATTCCAGATCGATGCTTC